TGTTGTTTCTGTGGGGAAATGAGTAGCTGGATATGTTTACTGCCTTGTGTTATAAGGGGGAGATACAAATAAATAAATAAAAATAACATTCTTTATATCCAGTAGCATACAGATTATTACATTTGTTATTAAATGTGTCCAGTCATTTTTCAAAAGGCTGATAGATCTGTCTGTTTAAAAAAAATTAAAAGGCAGTAAGCTGATCACTGATATAAGCTGGATAAGATCTGATTCTGTGCTAAATAAGGGCATTACAGATTTTCTGCTGACAAGGCCTTCTGCATGGTTCTGCTTTCTATTCTTTTTATGACTTGGAAGGAAGGTCATGCTTTGAGGTGCTGCCAATTGTGCATATTCCATGAGATGCTTTGAGGTTCTGCACTTAATTCATTTTAAAAAATTGGTGAGCTGGGGTGAAATTGGCAAGAATTCAGCCAGTTTCCCTTCTAGGATTAGTACATCTATATCATACACAGTTTCATTTGTTGGCATCCTGTTTAAGAAATAGGTTATAAAATATATGCAAAATATCTCAATGTCAGTTATGTGATCTGAATACATTCATACTAACAGATTGCAAATGTGAAATACTAATTTGGTGTTGTTTTTGGTACAACTGCACATATACTTCATCACAATGGTGAAAGACAGTTTACAAATGACAATTTTTCCATGCTGCATTTTGTACCCAATATGGACATTTTCTTTTTTTAAAATATTTTTTTTTTATTTTTAATGTTCAAAACAAACACAACACATCCTTCTTTACATAATGTAGAGAGTGTATCAGTTGGTTACAAAAAGACTTTCGTGCATCTCTTCCACAGTCAACAAACATAATTCATATTAACTCAAGTATTTTAACTTAGATATTTATACATGTTACCATCATCATACCTCCATTTTCATTTGACTATAATTGTTTAAACGTCCATCATCATAAAATATACCATGATTTAATATATAACCACATACGGCATTTCATTTACTATTTCTAAAATCCTCCATTAACACTGAATCCTTATGTCCTATTCTAGCTAAA